TTTTGTTTCTGTTGTATGTTCTTCCTTCTATGGTATATCCCTGTTGCCACTGTATTTGATTGTGGTACCTTGCATCCTGTATATACATTTATCTAATTTGGGGAGGGGAAGGAGAATAACAAAATGCTGAAACAAGGACACAGGATGACCCATTGCAGCAATGATACTCACAAGACACTATACTGGAAATGAACTTTACAACTCTGGGGATGGGGGACGGTGGGGGAGGGGGAGGAGTAATGGGGGAGGGGAGGGATAGTAGGAGAAAACAAAGGAGGGGGCCAATAAAGCTTGATAAGAAATGTACGTACCACTACTGATATACTGTACCCTCTGTACAGCATCTTATAAGAAAATAATTTTTTGGGAGGTCTGGTCATGGGGCTGAACTCTGGGCCTGGGTGCTGTCCCTCAGCTCTTCAGCTCAAGGCTAGCGCTCTACCACTTGAGCCACAGCACCACTTCTGGCTTTTTTCTTTTTGCTTATGTGGTGCTGAGGAATTGAACCCAGGGACTCAGGCATGCAAGGCAAGCACTCTACCACTGAGCCACCTTCCCAGCCCAAGAAAATAACTTTTTTAAAGGAGGTTTACAACATAATAGACAAGGTGATAGTGATCAAGAACCATTGTACTCAAAATTGACATGTTGCATTGAAACCTCTTTGCACAACTACTTGGAGATAATTAAAAAATAAAAACAAAACAAAGATTAATGTTCTCAAGTCAATATACCAATGATTAGGCAGAATCAGAATGCCAGGCAGGAGCCTTCTGTGTCATAGGTATATATATAAATATATAAATAAATATATATACTTTGCTTCTTTCCAGGAAAGCCTGGTTCATGTCTGTAGTCTAACATCCTGGGGCACTATTTCTGAGACTAAACGAATCCCTCACTCTCTCTGAGTGGAGAAAATTACATTTGGATTCAGGGTGCAATAGAATGAAGATTATTTTGCTCGAGTGCATTGACCTTTATTCACCATTTCATCAGAATTTCTGGAGCATGAATCTGCGTCCAGCCTCCTCCACAAAAGCTCACACGAAGAAGGAAAATTCTTGTCTGGCTCAAGGCCAGAACATCCTCTCCCTGAGCATTCAGACACAGGGAAAGAAAATCAAATCCGCAGACTTTGGGAATCTAGTTAGGGAATAGTTGTAGGAGATATGGCAAACAACAGGGCGGCTGAGTGACTCTCTAGAGAAAACTGTCTCTTCCTGTCCCTGCCTACAAAGAACAATTACATTCCCCAATATTCCTCCAACTGAGCAAAACATCACAAGCAAATTGCCAGTTGCGTCTCTTCTTGCCGTTTGGCTAAATAATCAGGAAACAATAGTTAGGCACACATGCACAAATCCAGGCTCACAAGAAAGGCAAAGCACTTTTAAAACCACGTTACCAGAGTTTTAAAGATGGGGCAACATTTTACTATTTAAGAAAAAAAATATTTATTTGCAAGAAATGGAAATACAAATGCATTACAATGACAATTTTTTTTCAACTAAGTACAAGAATTCTACAAAGCTTTTTTTTGGTATTTACTTAGCTATAATAAAGAATAAGAGGCCATAAAAACAGCAGTAGGACAGATAACAGACTCACAACGCACTCAGATTTAAACGCTGTGGAGCTATATAGTGTGTTACAAGACAGAAGAAAGCTTGGCTGTCAGTATAGACAGTAAAGCTGGCTCGTGATTACAAGTCCAAGGTCTGTTCACCACTGTGTAGCAAAGGCAAGCTCATGGTGCTTCCCAGAGCGCTGGCTTTCCCCGGACTTTATCTGAAAGGGAGATCTTTGAAGCAGTGTAGGCCATGGGTGCAAAAAGAAAAGTTTATGATCCCACTCAGCTGGCGATGAGTAAAGGATGGAGCAACAAAAGGAAGCTGAAACCCTTGGCTTCCTTTTTACCCAGGTGCAAAGCCTGCTCACTGAAATTCAAAGAAGTCTAGATGGCCAGAGAAGACCATGTGGAGGCCACTCCAGCAGAAGGCTCCAGAACCAAGCAATGTGTGTATGGGGGGGGGGAACAGGGGGGGGGAAGCCTGAAGGGTTAGCAGTGCCCTCCCAGAGGAACCTGCTTAACCTGTCTTACAAATGGCTGTAACCCCCCCCCAATCCCAGAGTTTTTTTACCCATCTCATAGTAGCCTGTCACCCTTATTTCTGTATCCACCAAATTAAAAAGACTTAAAATATATTTAACACATTATTCAACACCTTGGTATGTCTTCAAGAAATATCATTTCACTTCCTTATAGAAACCAAGACCAAAATAAGGCATTCCTGAATTTCAGGTTGCCCCAAATAGTCAAACAGCTTTCCTTTCCTGGGGTTAAGGGCTGATCCCTTGACTCCAGAGGTAGGGAGCTTTAATCCTCCAATGGGCCAGGTTCCTTTGCACTCAGAAAATGCTGGGCAGGGAGGATTTAGCAGGCCTTTAATCCTGGCTGACCATTTTTGTGATGTGATTGCTCCTCTACAAAATGGGGAATGGGATTTTCCTAATGGATATAGCTCTGTTTCTTTGCTCCAGATGTACAAATCTAATAACGGTTCACTCCTAGGAAACTGATTTTGAGCCTTTGGAAAAGTTTCTTTTCCCATTCCCCCCCAAATTCACTTCAATCTAACTCTATAAAGCTATATATAACATTTCCCAGGGATGAGGACTTCCTCAGTCATCCTGGATTCAAATGTAAGGCACATGTGAGACACAATTGAGTACCTAAGAGGAATGTACATGAGTAAGAGAGACAGACAGACAGAAGAGACAGAGACAGAGACACAGAACTAGTACTTAAGTCTTTTGAATAACTACTGCTTAACTTGAGGTTTCCTCTGTCAATTCAAGAATAAAGTTCCCTCTTATTTCCCAGCATTTCCTAGGGCCTCAGGCAGGTCCTTCCTTATTAAAACTAAAATGTCACCAGGTACCGGTGGCTCACGCCTGTGATCCTAGCTACTCAGGAGGCTCAGATCTGAGGATCCTAGTTCAAAGCCAACCTGGGCAGGAAAATCCATGAGACTCTTATCTTCAATTAACTAGCAAAAAGCAGAGAATGGCACTATGGCTCAAAGTGGTAGAGCAAAAGCTCAGGGACCGCACCCAGGCCCTGAGTTCAAGCCCAAAGAAAACAAAACAAAACAATAAGAAGAAAAAAGAACCCTGAAAAGTCCAAGAAGAAATGAATGAATGAATAAGTAATCTGGAATCTGGTATTCATCGTTGGGTTGGTAAATATGTTGAACTGAAAGCTACTTTTCCAATGTTCAAATGAGTTCTCTAAATCAAACTCCTTTCTATTAACCCAAAGGTTATCTAATTTTGGCAACAAGGCCCACCTCCACCTCCTGCCAGGAGAGGAGCAACTCAGCTCAGGTGTCAGGATTTTACAGAACACTCTCTTTCTGGGAGCAAGACAGACACCAGAGTCCTAATCCTTCACTGTCTTTCTCCACACTGGCACTGAGGCCTCTCATTTATGGGGTCCAAGTCATAGCACAGAGGTGGGAGTTTTAAAACAGGACCATCGCAGGGCAGAGGAGGGGTTACTCAGCTCCAGTCCATTGTAATCGAAGCAAGAAAAGAGGGAATACCGGTGCACATGATGGGAAATCCTAGAACAAGCAGATTTAGTGTGTTGGCTTCTGGTTTCTCAAATAGTTTCACTTTTTTCTAAATTTAAGTTCAAGCTCTCTCTCTGAATTCATGGTTATCTTCAGAGTGAATCATGAATTATTCACTGGTCTGCAGGTCTGGTTCCACAGTGGAAAAATAAAAACAATCTGCTCATATTGGGGGCTTAACCTTTGACCAGAAAGCAAACACACCTCATAAATGATGTGGAACCAATCTGGTGTTAGGTGACACTTCTGTGACTTCCTGAGCTTCAAGGCTCCATTCACCTTTCTCACACCCAAACCAGGGGTGGAGGGCAGAGGTTTTCTTCTTAAAATAGCAACACCTACTCTTGGAAACCCTCTTACAGGGCCATTGAGGTCTCTGGCTCATGTCCCATGTCTCTAGTTACAGATTCTGCACTGGAACAAGCTTTCCCAGAGAAAATGTCCTGCTGTATGTAGAGGGAGTGATATCCAACAAGAGATGAAAATTAAAACCTCAAAGAACTAAGAACTAAGGCCAGACGTTTCCTTTTCCTTCTCCCTCCTCATTCAAGAGTGGAGTTTCTACCAGGGCTATTTTCAGGTGACTTATAACCCTGTTTGGTTCAATTGCAACCATCAGATGGGCTGATCCATAACCTCACTTCTGCCCCTTACCTTTTCCCATTGTCCTAGGACTATTTAATTCTGGGGTTCTTGCCTTCTGGGGGGGGGGTGACAGGGACCTGGCATTTTACAGAAGACATGAATCAACTGCGGTCTGTGGGACAGGAGCCAGATACAAGAGGACCAAGCGCCAGAGAAAATGGAGTGCAGGGAAGGGAGAAGCAGAAGCAGAGGTGCCCAGCGCCCTCTCTACCCCCCCAGCCCAGATGTCCCAGCCTGTCCTGTCCTGGTCCATGTAAGGGAGGGACGGCAGAGCTGTCAGCCCACAGGAGTCCTGCCGTGACTCGGACACACAGCATGAGCAGCTTAGTTTTCTTCCTAGTCAGGAACCTTCCCCACAAGTGTGGGAAGACCACTCCCCACCGTGCCTCCAAATGGATCCAGGCTGATGACATAGGAAACCATTAGTGGGGGCTGAGGGCAAAAAGCTAGTGATACCAAATCCTGTCCCTTATATGGAAAGGAAGGTCTGGTGTGGGTGTAACCTCTCTTAATGGAGGCTCCAATGACCAGTAGACAGTTAGATGATGATGGTGGTGATAATGCTGTATGTGTGTGTGTGTGTGTGTGTGTGTGTGTGTGTGTACAAGAGACAGAGACAGAGGGACAGAGACAGAAAGAGAAGCCAAAGCTAAAGGCCCTTCGGCTGCTACTAAAATAGAAAATGTAAGCATATTTCCTATACAAAGTCTTTTACAAATTGGGGCGGGGGGGGGAACATGTCAAGGGAGTCTTCTATCTAATACAATAAAAAGGCAATTTCCATTTCTTCTTTGTATGAAAGAGGAAAGATTTTCACTATAAAAGTTACTTTTAATCATTTCAAACAAAAATAAAAAGTAGGTTGGGGATTAGGTTATGTCTCTTTGGGTGAGCTGCAAAGTAGCCAGACCTGACTACAGAAAGGTCAAGACAGCGGATGCTCCGACGTCCCCTTGGTTAAGGCGGGCAGAGGGAAGGCAGGGTACAGGGAGGAAAGGCCTGGCAGGTGTGGAGGACAAGCTGTCAGCCAGGCCTGCTGACAGAGACAGAGCTTCTTTGCTTCTTCTTGTCTCTCTGGAGAGAGAAAGCAACAGGCCACAGAGCCCCGGCTCTGAGCAAGCCATCGCTCTATCATTCCTTCTTAGTCCGTCCACGAGGGAGACACAGGCTTCAGGGAACTTCTCAGTAATAATTACTTCCTAGGCCTCCCATTTAAAGGAGAGAGAAAGAGAGAAGGAAACAAACAAATCATCTGGGAGAACTGAGGCACTCACAGCCACGCTCCACTGCCACGGGAGACCTGGCTACCGTGGAGGGAGGGGGACACTGAGTCACTTCAGTGGGGTCACGGGCGGGGAGCCTCAGTAAGCTAATAAATACTATTTACACGTGGGGAGGGGAAGCCAGGGAGGTACAACTAAGGTCCTTATTGGGAAGCAAATGAAGGAGATCCTACAAGCAATATGATGGGCAGGTCGGCCTGGAGGAGAAAAGCCTGATGATGCCTTCAGGCATTGCACTTGCGGCCTGAGTTCGCAAAGGAAGCCCCCTCTCTGTCTGCCCCAAGGGTACTGGAAGGCAGCGTGGAGGGAGGGTCCTGATGTGAGGCCCTGGCACACCCAGGGCGGAGGGGAGCAATCACACTAGAGGCCTAGTGTGAGCAAGGGAGAACCAGAATCAGTGCTTTGCCAAATCCCAGCAGGCATGGGGCTAGGGTCTGCGACGTCAACTGAATAAAAGTCATCTCTTCTTCCAAGAGGGGACGATCTCCGAGGGGGGAGAATCAGGCAGTATCTTTGGGCACGATGGATGGCAACAAGCCTGCTTGTCCCATCTGCATGCCACCCCTACCTGAAACAATTTCCTATGGCAGTGAGAGAAAAGGGAGGGAGAGGCACTGGCTCCCTTCTCCATGAGAGCGAGCGGGAGACATGCAAGCAGAACCCCAGGCCGGCCTCCCATCCCGAGCCACTAACACTCATCCCCGTGCTCTTCAACCTCCAATGGCAAAGAGGAAAAGCTAGTGACAGAGGTGATTTGGGGAAGTCAAGGGAGAGTTAGGGGAAGAAGGGAGCTGGAGAAAGCATCACTAGAAGGTGGTGTTCACTCTTCTCTCCAGTTCTACCACTTTGAGAGTTTCATTCCCCTCCAGTTTGGCGCTGACCCTGTGAAGACAGGGGAAGGAGAAAGAACCATTAGTCACTGCTAGTGACAAGTCTCATGTGCCATCGTGTGATATAATCATTCCATGTGGGCTGACCCACATGGGCTTCTTGTCTTCTATCCTCCTAGTGGTTAGTTATCTCTGGCTACCAGCCCATTCATTCACCTACACTCCTTTATCCTTATCCTTATCTTTATCCTTATTTGAGACAGGCGACACAGCCCAGGGGAGACACATTATGGTTCCATATTGACTGCTTATAAATTGCTTTAAATTATTCTATTTACGATTGGGCACCAGTGGCTGATGCCTGTAATCCTAGCTTCTCAGGAGGCTTAAGATCTGAGGATCATAGTTCAAAGCCAGCTGGGACAGGAAAGTCTGTGAGACTTTCAGGTTCAGTTAACCACTCCCCCCACACAACAAGAGCCGGAAGCGGAACTATGGCTCAAGTGGTGGAGTGCTAGCCTTGATCAACAAAGCTCATGACAGTTCCTCGGCCCCAAGTTTAAGCTCCAAGACCAGCACCAAAAAAAAAGTATATATATTTTCTATGGATACTTGGTCCTATGATAAATTTGGGGAAGTAGACAATACAAGGATATGAGCTGACCCCTGGTCTAGAGGAGCTACTCATCCAGATAAAGACTTTTCTTTAAGTAAAATAATTTGAAATAACATTAAATGTATGAGAGGAAACAAATTATTGTCAAATTGTGTACCAGCCCCAGAGTCTCCCAGCTTTCAGATGAGTCTTAGGGAGGCTCGGCCAGGAGAAACAGATCATGGTATCATAGGTGAGTCTTCCAGAGGTTCCAGTGGTTGCTCCAGATGTCACCCGTGATGGGAATAAAAATTATGTCTTACTGTTTGAGAGTAGTCAAGAGGATTCATATGGTAGTATATTTAGGCTACCAAAGGCTCAAATAGTAAGCATTAGAAAATATTAAATATACATGTGCAGTGTATACATATAAAAGTCCATGTAATTATGTATCACCTTCTTATTCAAGGCTAAGGAAAGAAAGTGAAGAATCTACAATGAAATCTTTCCCACTGGACTTGGAACATCCTCATGTCTGTGTTCACGATCACAGACCAGCTAAACTGCCACCCATTCACCACAGACTACACATCTCCCAGCGTATGCACACAGTCCTTCCTGCACTGGACCACAGCCAGGTACCCAGGTACCTCCCCTACAAAAACAAGGCCTATGCTCATGTCAGCCTTTATCTCCCACAACTAAGAAAACCAATGCCTGGAAAATTGGGAATCAAATTTAGATTCTTTTCAATATAGGCACACATACATACATACATACATACATACATACAACAGTGCTGTCCCTCAATGGAAACTTCTAGGTTTATACAGGGTGAGTATCTCCAATTCAAAAGTGCAATGAAATACTGGAATGCTTCAGGGGCCTGTGCCAATAGGATGCCACCAGTGGGAAACGCCACTCCTCCTGTGACCAGTCAGTCAAAACAAAGGCTCACTACAAACGCTGGGTTAACAGACCAGGCTATGTGCAACAGGTGCATAGGAAAGACATGAATTTTATAAGGAAACTTTGGTCCCATCCCTAAGATAATCTCTGGATGTATATGCAAGCATTTTAAAACCTGATAGGCTTTGAAATCTAAAGAAGACTCTGGCCTCAAGCTTTATTTTCAAATAAAGGATGCTTCATTTGTGTGAGCTAACATAGAAGTACATAATGATGTGCAGCCTGACACTCACTTTCTGGTTGGGAGGGAGCTACCCAATGGAAGTGGTCTTTTTATGTTTTTGTCCATTGCGGGGCTTTAACTCAGGGCCTGGGCATTGTCCCTGAGCTCTTTTGCTCAAGGCTAGCACTCTACCACTTTGAGTCACAGCACCACTTCTGGTTTTCTGGTGGTTAATTGGAGATTAGAGTCTCACAGACTTTCCTCCCATGCTGGCTTTGAAGCAAGATCCTCAGATCTCAGCCTCCTGAGTAGCTAGGATTGCAGTGGCATGAGCCACTTGTACCCAGCTCTCTGGGAAGTGGCCTTCAAGGTACATTTGCATAGCAATCAGGCTGAGCTAAATGTTTACAATGTGGCCTTTGAAGGGCCCTTTACTTGGGCCACAGCCACCAGCTCCAGGCTGAGGTGCAGAGCTCAGGGTAGCCAGTGCCCAGCAATGGACTCTCCTCAGCGCCAGATCCTGGATGTGGGTGCTCAGAGAGCCAAGACGAGGAGCAAGCTGGGCCTCTGAGTTCAGACTCCCATGTCAGGTAGCCCTCAGCCTATCACCAGCCACTAAAGGAGCCTGATGCGCATGCGCAGGACTTACAGGTGCTGCTGCAGCTCCAACAGCACGGACTTCTCCAAGCTGGTCTCATTTGAGATAATGAAATGAGTAAGTTCCATGTCTGGCAGGGGCTCCAGTGCTGATGCCCTGAACAGGGCAGAGCCTCTGTCCCAGCCCCCAAGCTCCCCATTTGAGGCCTGGCTGGATGGCTCCTCCAGGGAAGAATGCTCCTCATAGATCAGCAGGTTCCTGGATCTCACTGAGAACAGAGCAAAGAAACAAGGTGTCAGCAAAAGCCCACAGGAGACGGACATATCCTTTTACTCCCAAACCCCAGGGCAATTGTATTCTGGTTGCCCAGGACAAATAGTACCAGTCGGATCTGGCTTTCTGTAAAGGCTTCAGGGTTTCTGCATTGAAAAATTATACCAATTATACAGCACTAGGGAAAAAACAGCAACAAAAAAAGCAAATAAACATGAAGCCACAAACTTACTTTGAGATTGCAACTCCATTCCTTGCCCACCCTTAATCACCTCAAGGGAAACAATTCATGCAAAAGGGGAGACAAGAACTTGGGGAGGTCCAGACCCAGCTAAAACAGGAAGCATTCTCTAATGAGGAGGGAGATGAAAGCTCAGGGCATTTTCAATCGGAATCTGGAAGGAAGATGCAAAAGCAAAGCCATCAATCAGAGGACAGAGACAATCTCTTTTGTTCCATAGGACAGTCAGTCACCTGGCTAGATGGTCCTGTAGCAATTTTCCCAGAAACTATGATTCTACTGGCTTTCAATAGCTAGACAGATCTCCTTTTGGGGAAAAGATTTCCCTACAGGTCTTGAAATTTCTTGTATTGGAATTCCAGTGCTTTTGTTACCTCCCCGGTGCAGAGTACCGATGCTCCAGAATGGCAAAACTGTCCCTACTTCAAACTCACTTCCTCCAAACCCCATGCCTGACCTATCACCCTTCTATTTCCTAAAGACTTCAAGAGATCTTTGGTCTAGATGAGGTTATTATACACTTCTCATATAACACCCGAGTCTCCAAATTCTAACTCTTGGGCCTAATGTTTTATAAGACAGAGCCTTTTGTGTCATTTTATAAACTCTTAAGATGGTAACACATAATTCCTAATTCCCAAAGTGGAGGCAGAAACACAGGAGCTTTCTCAAAATGTCACAGAAGGCTCAGTGTTCTTATCCTGCCCCCTCCTCAAACCCACATGCATCCCTTATCAGAGCTCAAGAACGGGGCATCAGAATTTACCGAGGAACAGAGACTAGAGAGCAGCTTGCAAATGGTGCTCTTGGAGGGCCTGGAGGATTTTTCAGTGCTGCCCCAGCATGGTAGGTGAGGGACGCAGGAAACAGCGCCAGGTGCCGAAGTCGCACACCTGAAATCCTAGCTACTCAGGAGGCTGAGATCTGAGGATTGCAATTTGAAGTCACCCTGGCCAGAACAGTCTATGAGACTCTTCTCTCTGATTAGCAAAAAGCCAGAAGTGTTAGTGTGGCTCAAGTGGTAGAGTTTAGAGGGAAAAAGCTAGAGGACAGTGCTCTGGCCCTGAGTTCAAGCTCTAGTATTGGCATGAGAGAAAGAAAAGGGGTTGCGGGGGGGCGCTACACAGCAGACAGCAACCTTACCCCAGAGCCTGTCATGTGCAAATGGAAAAGCTCCACTTCTGCCATTTTTACCGACTTTTACAAAAGACTCCAGAAAGCTGGGAGACTTAGATCCAAAGAAACAAACCAAGTTATCTCTCAAGTAGCTGGGTGCTCTCTTACCGACAGAGGCTGCGTACGGCTCTGACAAGGAGTGCTGGTTGGGCAGAGCCATCTTGGTCGCAGAAGGATAGGGACCATAGCCTTGAAAGAAGCTGCCGAATGCAACAGCGAAGCACAGCACAACCACCTGGAGGGAGGGGAGAGGACAGGGGAGCTGTGAACTCCAGGCTCTGAAAGGTTGATCTATAGACAGCCCACATCCAGGATAATGGGAGGTGGGGAGAACTGGGCCATCTATCAGGAGACAAAATGCACTCTCTGGTCACATGCATCTGGAGGCATCTAGAGAAACAGCCAGGGAGCAGGCTGCATCGCCTGTGTAGCCGCAAGGTGGGAGACCCAGGGAAACAAGGCGCTGGCCAGGGGCGAGTCACTGGATCATTCTTTGGGGAAACTTACCATAAGGCAGGTCCCAGTCTGCGTGCCTGCCAACTTGCAGGTGCGAGAAACCTTCCCCATCACCAAAGTCTGAAGCTTCTGGAGTTGCTGAAGGAGAGTCCTGCCAATGGTGACAAGGAAAGGTTAGAAAAACAACATGGGAGATGGCCTTCCCTTTGCTGACCCTCCACACAGGACACTGAAGGTGACTGAAAGGTATCCGCAGAGCTCACTGGAGCTCAGCCTCAGCCTCAGGAACACCTTAATGGCTTGCCCTGTTCTTGTACTGCTCTGAGCAAGAGGAGAGAGCTCCAAATGGCCCCTGACAGGCTGAGACGTGTTTATCTGCCTTTGAGAAGAAAGAAAAGGTTACATGCTGGCTGGACGTTGGGCGGTGAATCTGTTCAGCAAGTTCATGCCCTGCTCCCAGTTCCTACCTTACATTCTAACTCCCAATGCGATGTTTGTGGAGGTGTCTTTGGGAGGTGACTAGATGAGGACCCCCCATGATTGGCCCCTCACAAGGGGCTGCATGTGAGGACAGAGGTAGAAGGAGCTTCCTGTAAAGCCGGAAACAGCCTCAATCCCACCAGGTACCAAAAGCTGCTAGCACCTTCATCTTGGATTTCCCAGTCTCCAGACCCATGAGAAACAAATTCCTACTGTTTATAAAGCTTTTCAGCCTCTGATATTTTCCTATGGCAGCCTGAACAACTGGAGGTGGCGGTGATTAAAGGAGGTTTGGGTAAGAAACATGGATGAAGACTTAGAGGAAAAATGCAAAGAGGAAAGGGAAACGACCACCAGAGAACAAGTGAAGGAGGGGCAGAGAGGGTAGCTATGACTGAAAATGGCAACAGCATCACCACAGAAAAACAGACATTCGGTTAGGAGATGGACGATGGGGAGAGAGAGAGAGAGAAAGAGAAGACAGACAACCAAGACAGACAGACAGACAACGCACACAGGAGCAAATCATCCAAAGACAGGAAACTGACAGTTTTGGAATATATGGAATTGGAATCTTGGAAAGCAAGTCTATGAAACACAATGATCTTTCTCCAGGAAATGACAGAAAACGGTAGAATAAAATAATAGTTTCTCTTCCAGGTTGGGCAATTCTGAATCCCCTTAAAAGGGAAAGGTTTAAGGACGAAGACAACTTCCTATGCTCTATGTGACATCAGACACAGAAAGAACAGAGACAAAACTCTACATCAGTCCGTGACAGCAAGGCGTTGCCAGGAGTCTGACAACACACCCTCACGCATGAGAGCATCTTGGAGGAATTCTGCAAGAGGCATTATGTAAAGAGCTGACACCACTCCCCACTCTCATATCTCTTTTGCAAAGTACAGTTTACCAGCAGATGCTGTTTCTTGAGTTTCAGTGATTCTCAGAAAAAAAAAATCCATCTAATGACGCCATATTAGAGAGCCACATCTGCTAGAAAACACTAACAAATCACCTGTTTGCAGAACTCTGGCCTGTCATCGCTAACTTGCTTCTCATCACTCTGTCCCCTCAAGAGTGATCGAAGGCCGCAAACACAAGCAGGCTTTTCCAGGGTTTGCAACTTCTCCCCTAGCAAATACAAATGCAGGAAGTTCTCCCCATTTAAGCAAATGAAGGGCACGGTGGCCTTAAGAATGATTTTGCTTTGACTAGTTTTAAATGGATAAGAATGGTTGGAGAATTACAGCGGCCCTGCACAGACAGTGGGAGCCTACTGTACTCATAAACCCCTGTGTGGGCCCAACCATGACATACTTCTGCCTTGGAATAATTTTAAGAAGGCAGAATCTTTCATCACAATAATCTGTATCATTAATTTAATTTGTTTAAGGTGGGAAGCCTTTTTGTGTGCTCAGTTGTACAATTATTTCTTTTGTTTCTGATTATATAGAAGTATGATGGCATGTAGGTTACACTTGATTTATGTTTGCATATATAAAGTAGGATAGGTTTGGAAAGCATTCTATATGTTATTCGAGGCTGAGAAATAATGATGGCATGACTATTTCCAATCCTGCTGAAAGAAAAAACGTTGGTGGGAGAGATGGGGAAGATCGATGGAGCAGGTAATCAAGGTATGTTGCACTCGTGAATTGATAAGACTCTGTACGACTACTTATAGGTAAAAAATTGTTTTAAGTTTCCAACAAAATGGTCTGATGATGCAGTACCATTATTCTTCCCTGGATCAAACATTTTTTTCTCTTCTCCCAGGATTTCTCTACAACACATCCCTCCTCCCCATCAGCATGGTGCCCTTGTGTGTGTGTGTGTGTGTGTGTGTGTGTGTGTGTGTGTGTGTGTCTGTGTCTGTGTCTGTGTCAGTGTCAGTCGTGGGGCTTGAAATCAGAGCCTGGGATGCTGTCACTGAGCTTTTTTGCTCAAGCATTTTACTATTTGAGCCAAAGCTCTGCTTCCAGCTTTTTCTTGGTTAATTGGAGATAAGAGTCTCATGGACTTTCCTTCTCAGCCTGGCTTTGAACTGCGATCCTCAGATCTCAGCCTCCTCAGTAGCTAGGATCACAGGTATGAGCCACCAGTGCCCAGTGCCTGGCACCATTTTAACACTGAAAGCTGAGTCATCAAGCCCAGCTACTTCCTGAGTAATATCCCTTCTCACAGAACCCAGATTAGACTGGCTCAGTCCAGACTGGACTGACCACATCTGGGATTCCAGCCCCCCAAGTCCTTACTAGGTTCTCTCTGCTGGCATCTCCGGAAGCCCCAGGGCAGACACAGACAGGTGAGTGCCCAGATCAGACCCTATGGTACACATGCCATCATCTTCCATGATATCAGTTCTTAGCTGCCGGCTAAGCTATGGTCTGCTTAAGAGCCACTCCTTCACATGATGGCTGCAGCTTCTGCGGGGCGTTTCAGCTCTGCACGGGACACGCCTGCTGGTCTCGGCGTGCTGCAGCTCGGCTGTCTTCTGTGAAGGAGTGGGCAGGGCCCTCTTCCCGTCAGACGGGGGTCTTTCCAGATGTTATTTTTGCTCCCAAGTCTTTAGGTGATTTGACAGTGAAACCATCCTTGCTATTTAATTCTTCTTCTTCTTTTTAAACCAATAGTCCCTGTTGACCAGCAAACATTCCACACTTCCTCTCTGCCCATCTCTGGCTCCTTGCCTGGTCTAATTTAGAGTGTGAAATGCTGAGAAAACAAATTGCATGCAGTACTTGGCTTCCCCGTCCTCTTCTGATTTCTGGGGAGATGGTGGAGCTCATTCTCCATTTGCTACTATCCAAGAAGGCACTGCGGTCTCTCCTGTAAAGAGACTCTCAGCAGGTCAGTCCCTCCTCAAGCCCACTCAGGAATGCCCAAGGTGAAGATAAGACACATTCCCTGTCCCACGCAGCTCCAGGTACAACATGCTAAAAGTCTGGAACCGTTTTCCCATTGGAGCCAGCAGGAAAAGCTCTGTGCTCACTAATGTAGAGTGCTTCGCTTGGCATTCGTATGCACAGCTTTCGCAAACTCAGATGATTATATGCTGATTCCACGGCAAGTGAAAAATAGTCGTTTAATGGTCCTTGATTTCTCATAGTTTATAATCCAGCTCTTTAAGATGAGCAAACACGTAGTTTTAAAATACGTATTTTGCAGTTGGGGATTTGGGTGGGATGCCACAGTGATTGATAATGTGCTGTTTGCTGTGTGTTTGCGTGCTTGGCTTGGTGAAGGTAAAATGAACTCATGGTGGAAATGAAAACACTCAAGCAGCATCTCCAGAGCCTCTCTCCAGAGTCAAGTGGGTTGCTCTGTGTTGTGTAGAGGAGTGGGAAACCTCTCTGTACCCAGGCTTCGGTGGGCTGGGCCTGTTTCCAGATGGTACCAGGGCCCTGGTATCTTGGCTCCAGAGCCGGAAGGTGTTTTTTTTTAACCAACAGTCTCTGCTTACTAGCAAATATGCCACACTTCCCTGCCCACCCCAGCTCCATGCCTGGTCTTTAAAGTCTGAACTCTAACGTTGCCTTGTGGAGTAATTTGAATTTAAGGGAGCAAGATCATTCATCCCATGAATTAATGAAGGCTTCGGTTTAAGGAAAGAAACCCTGATGCCCCACCTAGTCACATGTGCAAAATGTAGGAAAAAGAGCACTTAAGTCTGACCCATCCACCACGCCCAATGTTTAACTAGGTTCTTATGATCAAATAAAGTTTGAGAAATTCATATGTATTCAAAAGCTCATAAAATTAATAGTGACTGAGTTCTAGGAATTAAATATACGTGTGTGTGTGTGTGTGTGTGTGTGTGTGTATACACACATACACACACATGCATATGCCATTACCAGGGCCTGAACTCAAGGCTTTGCACTCTTTTTGTTTTGTTTTGTTTGGTCAGTCATAGGGGTTAACTTGGAGCCTGGGCGCTGTCCCTCAGCTCTTCAAATTAAGGCTAGTGCCCTACCATTTGAGCCATAGCACCACTTCCAGCTTTTTTTGCTTATATAGGGCCTTATGCATGCAAGGCAAGCGCTCTACCACTGAGACAACTTCTCAGCCCAAGGCTTTGTACTCTTGATGAGCTGTTTCACTTACAGTTGGTACTCTACTACTTGAGCCACACTTCCACTTCTGTTTTTTTTTTTGCTGGCTAAGTGGATTTAATAATCTTCTGGTTTACTTTCCTGGGCTAGCTCTGAACTGGAATCCTCAGATCTCAGTCTTCTGAGTAGCTAGGATCACGATGTGAGCCACTAGCCCCCAGGTAGGAACTGCATATATTAAAACACTAACCAATTGTCTCAGTCACAGAACTTCTAAGTAGAAGCACAGTACCTCAGACAATGATCTAATACAATGAGCAACCAAATACTTCTTAAATAGATTTTTTTTTGCAAATCCAGTCACATGAACATTATATTATCTACAGCTCAATGGAGAGATATTTAATGCTCATCATTAGATATGAAAATGTGACCATTAAAAAGGACCAAGCCAAGCAAACACACAGGCACATAAAGAGCCAGGACTACACCCAGCCCAATGACAATGAGATACAAATAACAAAGTTGTAGTAAGAAAACAAATAAAAACCATAAGGATGGTACAGTACCTCTTAGATATACTAGAGACACAATGCAGGTGATCAACAAAAGA